AAATAGGAAACTTGTGTTGTACATATGTCCACTCCAGTTATTCCGCTCTTCTCCCTTGAATTCAGCACTCCATCCTCACTGACCTCCTCATTTTAGTCCAGACTCTTATCAGATCACAGGTGGAGATTTCCGTAGCCCACTTCCTGCTTCTCATTCCACACACCCGAAGTCTACCCTCCACATGTTGCCAGCAGCAGCACAATCCTTTACCACCCTTTCAGCAGCCCCTTCCTCACTCAAGAAGAGTCAACCATTCCTCACTGGAGCATGTTGGTACTTGTCAAGTCTTTCTTTCTCCTAATACTCCCTAACATGCAGCCTCCCTGACCCTTTGCCCCTCAACTTTATTCTAGTTCCCATCTTTACACTTGTTCATAATCTTCCTGCCTAGTATCTTGGAATACCCTCTTCACAACACCATGACCCCAAACCTAAAACCTACAAACTGCATGACCCTTTATGGCCCACCTTAATTATCATTGTCCTTGTGAAACTGTTCATACCCATTTGTTCATTCCTATAATATATATCTCCAATACAATACAAAGATGAAGGAGACATGATCCCCAATCCTCAAAGAACTGTAAAGAATAATAACCTCCACCACCACATGGTGTATTGTAATTACTATGTGCCAGTAAGGAGTCTAAGTACGTTACATGTATTAATTCACTCAATCCTCACAAAAATGCAGTGAAGTAAGTTACTACCATTATATATATTTTACAGACAAGGAGACTGAAACACAGAGAAATTAAATAATTTGCCTGAGATTACACAGATTAAAACCTAGATACTAGTTGAACTGTAATCCCCTGTAAAAAGAGATCCAGCATTTAGTGAGTAGGCACAAAACAGTGTATATTTAATTCCTATCATGCAAGTTACTGTGTTATGCCCTCTATAAGAGAGAGAAAAAGTAGTGAGAAAAAAAGTTATGTTTTCCTTAGCATTTCTATTACATTCTTTTTTGCTGGTCAGCTTCAATTGCTGAGGATTTTCTATTTAAGTCTTGCTTCCTTAACTAGACTGTCTGAAGATTGTTTACAGCACTAAGTGAAAACTAAACAAATATATAGGTAATTCTAATACAAGACATATCAGAAGTTCCATGAGTGATTTATAAACAAGGTTCTAGATCCCATTTGGGGCTGGAATGTGGAGAGGAGTTTCAGAGTTAGAGTAAAAAAATCCAAAATTCATAAAATCCAAATGCTTCTGTAAAAAGTTTGTGTGCAACATATAATGGAGGGATGCAAGGAAAAAGACAAGGAGAAAAGGCTGGCCAGTCAGCTCAACTGGTTAGAGTGCGGTGTTGTAACACCAAGGTCAAAGGTTCAAATTCCAATACCAGCCAGCCACACACACACAAAATAATAATAATAAAGTTTAAAGCAAAAAGCATATTTAAAAAAAAGACAAGGAGAAAAGCACAGCAGTGAGAGTAGGGAAAAAAAGAAGTATACATCAATGTAATGGAAGTAGCCACAACAGGTCTTGGGGGCCCAACTTCCTGTCATAATTACCCACAGTACTCCCTCACCAGCTCGTGCCTTAATCCATGACTATATTTAGTGACCTATATTTAACTTATCATTTTGGTTATATTTTTCTTTCTTTGATCTCTGACTTATGACAATGAGTGTAATTTTGGGCTTCTCATTAGAATCTCATAGGTTGGATTGGGACCTCACTGTGACAGATCAAGGACAAATGCTATCTATACCTTTTATATAACTACAATACCTATAGTACTTATATGGTTGATCTTTGAATAATGTGAGGGTTAGGGGCACCAACCTCAGTGCAGTCAAAAATCTACATAACTTTTCTTTCTTTTTTTTTTTGGCGGCTGTCCAGTATGGGGATGCAAACCCTTGACCTTGGTGTTATCAACACCACCCTCTCTCAAGTGAACAAAGTGGCCAACCCGTGTGTATATATTTGACTCCCCAAAAACTTAACTACCAATCGCCTACTGTTAGTCTTATTAATAACATAAAGTCAAACACATGTTTTGTATATTACATGTATTATATACTGTATTCTTACAATAAGCTAGAGAAAAGAAAATGTTATTAAGAAAATCATATGGGAGAGAAAATACATTTATAGTACTGTACTGTAGACTTATTGAAAAAAACTGCGTATAAGCAGAACTGTGTAGTTCAAACCTTCATAGTTTAGGGGTCAACTGTAATTTTAAGCATATAGGAGGAATTTAATAATTAATTATTAAATTGTTAATTATTATTAAACTGAGAACTACTATATCACCAATTTCATTGTTCAGATCTACAGATACATGTTTTGGCCCCATCAGATATCCCCCAGAGCAAAACATGCCTCAACTCAAAACATGGTGGGAATAGTGTGTGGGCATGAATTATTTGGGGATCATAAAGTCCCACTGCAAGAATAGGACTAATTATTGTCTCAAAATACCTTGCAGAATTTCAAACTTGTAACTGAAGTTTTAAAAACACATTTAAAATTTATTTTTTTGTTTTTTATGAATTAAGTCCTTAATTTGTTTAAAGGCTAATGAACAATCTTAAGTCTTGGTGTTCAAATTGCCTAAGCCGGGCCAACCCCGTGGTGCACTCGGGAGAGTGCGGCACTGGTAGCACAGTGACGCTCCCGCCGCGGGTTCGGATCCTATATAGGAATGGCCGGTGTGCTCACTGGCTGAGCGCGGTGCGGAGTACACTGGGCCAAGGGTTGTGATCCCCTTACTGGTCACGAAAAAGACAAAAAAAAAAAAAAAAAATTGCCTAAGCCAATGGGGCTCTGATTATAAGCCTCATGGTAAAGTAGAACAAATTAAGAAGCTCCACCTTGAAATGTACACAATAGCTTGTCTTCCAGCATTCTCCAAGATTGTTTAATAGAGACAAGAGGGAAGAACATGAAAAACTGCAAGGACTTGCCAAAACTAAAGGCATCTTGTGATTCCACAGCTGATGTCTTTGGACTGCTATGATAGAGAGGGGAAGTTTCTTATTTAAAGTTCCTGTTTCACATGTCTGAAAACAAGTGACCAATTGACTCAGAGATCCCTGATGTCTCAATGTCAGAGATATTTGGAACCATGCCCTTGCAAGTTCCAGGAGATGGAAAGAAGAAAAAGATGGAAAAACAAACAAAACTAGCTCTCCTTGAATTTTTAATTCCTTCTTTCTCCTTTTTTTCTTTTTAAAGATCAAACTCCAGGAAAGAAAAAATTACATAATTTGAACTTTCAAAGAAAAGTTAGAAAAATAAAAGGTTTAGACATAAAAATATATGAGAAGTTTGCCCTCCTTCTTTCTTGGGCATTATTCACATAATGTTCAATAATTGTTTCTGTAGAAGAAATAGTACATTCTGTCTACAGACATCTTTGTGATATTTAGAAACAGTCCCAGAAACCAGGGTCATAAACACATACATGAGAAGCACCTAAGTCAGCATCCTCATGCATTTTTTTAAGGAATCTCTGGAATATTTCTTGCTTAGTTTATATAAAGCTTGAAGCCATACAAGAGGGAAAATGGAATGAAGACAAATTTGGAAGATTCACTTCGGCAGAAAGGCAAAATAAAGAATTTTCATAACTCTGGTCCACTCAATTTTCCTCTAGATCTTGCATATTTAGGTTCCTAAATGAAGCACACAATAAAACAAAAACCTCTCTACCTCTCTATGGCAGATAAACTAAAGGATTCCAGTGAAGTCGAAATTATTTTTTAGAGCTTGGTTTATTCTAATTGGCAGATTTGTGTGAACAAAAACAACAAAAACAAAAAGCTTCATTTTTGTTAGTTAATAATGGGACCAGAAGACTTAGGTTAAACTGAGTAACACTTCTCTGACAACCAGATTCTGTTCCATGTTCTTCGACATTTTTATTTTGCCTAATGCTATCACCCAGGATACTTGTATTTCTAGTCTCCCTTTATCTTTACCCCATCTGACAATCTCTTTTTTATTTCTGAAGAAACAATACTGTTTTTAAAACTCCAAACAGGATTAAGCTTCTGGCAACATGGTGAAGTCTAAACAAATTAGAAGCATCAGTCTAGCAGTTACTATATTTAGTGCCTCATTAGTAGAAAGGAGCAAGTGTTCCACAAACGTAATTTGTCAAGAAATAGAAGCTTTTTTCTTGGGCTAGATTGTAGTCAGTCTACCTGGAGATGTTCCTGGCATTTTAATTTTGTGTTAAACATAGAGAAGTGTTAGAAAGAACCATGGTAGTGGAATGGATTCAGTGCCCATTAGTACAAAGGGAGGAAAGTGGTCATTAAAAGAGTGAATATACCCATGAAGACAAGAGCAAATACCAGTAGAAATACAGCAAATGCCTTTCAGATTTGGTCCTGGTAAAAATATTTCTTGGTTTCCATTCAGACCATTTAAATCTGGAACCATTGCTATTTCTCTCATATACAAGAAGTTCTCTTGCACAATAACACAAAGAGAATGACACTAAGCCAGTGAGGCTAAAGATCCTTTGTGACCCAAACCAAAGAGTGACATTTAAAAAAAAAAAAAAAGGTACAGATTAATCTGATATGGTTCATCCAATCCAAAGAACAAATAACAATCATTACATTTTCTATTTTCAATTCCACTACCTCATGACTTCAAGTGTTTGTTATTTCAGGAGCATCTTTTATGTCTTACAAAGCATTTCTCAACCTGCTGTGATTGCTAACTTGGAGCTCAGACCAATGAAGCAGGGTGGGGGGAAAAGTTGGTGAAAACAAAAACCCCAATCTCCTGCTGCAGATTGTGTCTTCTGGAAAACTCTATCGAAACTATGAGCATTTTCATTACTGTGCATCACAGAGAATTAGAAACTTTGTATAAACATTTTTTTTCTCCCTATTAAAAAACTGGATTGCACTATTGCAATGTATAACAAATTTATTCTGCAGCATAATGTGAATTTCTTGAGTACAAAAGCAAAAATATAATTTAGTTGCTTTTTTTCCTGGCTAAGTCTTTTTGCTCACCTGTGGTATCACTCCAAAGGCTTTTCTCCACTGTTGGAAAGTTATTGAATCCCAAGACACACCATCGATCTGTATTTCACCTTCAGTGTTCAGCAATCTCAAAAAAGCTGATAACAAAGTACTCTTCCCCGATCCAGTTCGTCCCAAGAGGCCCACCTATAAGGTAAAAGTGATGGAATTACTCCTATGACATACAGATACCATAACATAAATGTAATTCAGCATTGTACTTCAATAGAAACCATTAGAATTGTTTTTTCATCACCAGAGGAAGATTTTTAGTTATTTATTCAAACCTTTTTGCACACTCCTAATTCTGACCAATATTGACATGGGGAAGAGCAGCTCTAGAACAGAATACAGAAACTGGCCATAAGGAATTGGACCCCTGAAGATGGCTTCATTTATCACTGACCTTTACTAATGACAAAAATTTCCATTTTGCACTAAGCAAAAGCATTGAGATACCACTTCACTCCAGTTAGACTTGTTATAATCAAAAAGATGGTGAATAATAAATGCTAGCGAGGGTGTGGAGAGAAGGGAACACTCCTACACTGTTGGTGGGACTGTAATTTAGTACAACCACTATGGAAAACAGTATGGAGGTTTCTTAAACAACTACTGATTAGGTCTTCCATATGATCCAGCAATCCCACTTCTGGGCATATACCCAGTGGAATGGAAATCATCATGTCGAAGGGATACCTGCACATCCATGTTCATCGCAGCTCTGTTTACAATAGCCAAGATATGGAACCAACCTAAATGTCCATCAATGGATGATTGGATAAGGAAACTGTGGTATATATACACCATGGAATACTCCTCTGCCATAAAAAAGAATGAAGTTCTCCCATTTGCAGCAACGTGGATGAGCTTGGAGAAACTTATGGTGAGTGAAATAAGCAAAGTACAGAGGGATAAATACCACTTGTACTCACTCATAAGTGGGAGCTAAGAGAGAAAGAAGGAAGTAAAGAAAGACCACAATGGCGTGTTGGACTTGCAGAGGGATACAAAGTGGAGTGGGGGAAAGGGAGAGGGGGAGTGAGGTTGGGGATAATCGAGTGGGTGACATGAGGTACAATTGCAATTTGTGGTAATGGGCATGCTGCCAGTATGGATCTGGCCTTCACATCTAGGGCACAAGGGAGGACAATCAGCTTTGTATTCATGAATATTCAAAACCAATAAAAAAATTTCCAATTCACTGTAAATCAGCAATTTAAAAAATATACCAGAACCAGTGCATGGACTATAATAAATGTTTTAGAGTATATAAAAAGCCATAACAATAATAACTTATTGAACTCTTATTGGGAACCTGGTAATAAACTAGGCCTTTGGGATAAGTTGGTAAACAATAATGACATGATTCTCTTCTTATACATTGAAGAGCTCTACTGTGGGACTTTAACAAATGTGGGTTCTCCTGAGACAACTGAGACTACTAGATCCACAACATGTTATGCACAATACCCTGTTGAGTTTCTTCATAGTACTAATCATAATTGGTATTTATTTGATTTATTTTTCTTAATTATTGCTTGTGTTCACCCAAGAATATAAGTTCAACAAGGGCTGGGTAGTCTATCATGTTTTCCATTGAATTCTCTATACCTAAGTTAGTGGTTGGCTTACACAAAGTGCTCAATAAACACTTGTTTGGACTGACTGAGGGATAGTTAGATGGAAGGATGGGTGAGGGATAGTCAGGATAGTCAGACGGGTGGATGAGCAGATGAATGAACATATGTATTTAGTTGACCTAACAAATACATAAATTTAGTCAATTTTCATCAATTACCAGATCAATTCAATTTTAAAATCTTGTGGGATTTCATATGCACAATTCCATTTCTGAATTAGCCCATGTTGCACAAACACATTCACCATATGTCATGATTTTTCAAACACAACAGTAAAGCTTTGTTTAAGAAACCTGAATATGCCCAGCACAGGTGAGGTATGGGGGTAGAGAAGAAAGGGAAGTTCAATAGGTGGGCATAATTTGCTGTAAGGTCACGTCAAGAATTTTTAGGGAAAAGTGCCTTTAGGTCTAAATCCCTATATCATCAGTTTAATGAATAGGATAAATGATCACATTCCCTTTCCTTCAGAAGCAAATACTGAAATTTTTAGAGAAACCAGTTTTTATGTTGGGATAAGACTGGATTGAGAGGCAATTTGTATATCTTTTGTTTAGCTTTAAAGTTTTTGGCTATTGCTCTGCTTTCCTTACATCACTGAACTTCTGGTAAAGCAGTACATCTGACACGTTTTTCAACAGCAAGGAATCTCATTGGTTTGTATCTAACAAAGTCTTCTTGTTTATATAATTGACACATAATAATTCTTTTCCGGGATTTGTTTTTCCAGGCTTCTCAATGATTTGTTGAGTAAAGCTAGAATAATTCCCACAAATAAGCTTTTAAGAAATATCTTAATTCCAAGTCAGTATTTTGTACCTCCTCTTTGAGGATTTTGGATCAAGATAAGTCAGAATATCATGTGGAGAGTTAAACAGTGTTTAGTTTGGTTGTAGTTATAATTGCATTATACCATGAATAGAACAGTCTCAGGACATTCCTTTCAGAGTGTCCTACTCACCATTTTAATATTTCAACAGATGAAAACTCATTGTAATCACTTTTCATTTCCTGTGGTCTCCAGAAATCAAGATGTCAAGTCAAGTGAAATTTAGATCCACAAGATGATTATAACTGAAGCTTTTATATGTTCACATATCTCTGTTTACTATTAATAAAACATAGTCTTGAGAATATGCTTTTCATAAGCCCAGTGTAAGTTACTGAATAATTCAGCTACTTCACAGCAATTTTTACAGGACAGAAAATGGAAATGTGTTTAACAAATGTAAGAGCTTGTGCTGATGTGATCTGAACCCTAATATTCTTATGAATTATTTCTGGCACTTCAGTATTTTGAAGGGACTAAAAATGGAGAAAGTAGCTAAGTTTACCCAAAAGAATAGGTCTTGAAGTACTATTAAATATCTATTTATTCAGAGGACTGTCTAGTAATGTGATATACTCATATACAGTATACCATCTGAGAAATTTTAATTAAGTTCAGGTTTATCATAAAATTAAAATTTCAGCCTGCATTTTGAGAGGAAAAAGAAATAGACAGAAAAAGGAACAGATATTCTAGTTGGGGGAAGGTGATCTGGCTATTAAAATTTAGACAAAAAATCAAAAACTTTTAAGAAAAAGCTATTTGATATTGAGAAGAAAAATAGATATTTAAAGTAAGAGTTGTGAAATAGTTGCAAATGTATACTGCAATTTCTAGGGCAACCACTAAAATAAGTTCAAAAAGTAGAATTGCTATGCCAAGAAAGGAGATATAATGGAATAATATAAAATGCTCAGTTAAAACCACAGTGAGAAGAAAAAGAGTAGAAAATAAAAATAGGAGCAAAGAACAAGGGACACAAACAGAAAACAGTAACGAATATGCTAGATATTAATCTAAGTATATCAATAATCACTTAAAACATCAATAGTCTAAATACCTCAATTAAAAGACAGAGATTGTCAGAGCGGATCAAAAACAAGACTCAACCATATGTTGTCTACAAAAAATCCACTTTAAATTTAAAGTCATATATAGATTAAAAGTAAAGGGATGGAGAAATTTATACCATATTAACACTGGTCAAAAGAAAACTGGAGTAGCTATATTACTTTCAGATAGAACAGACTACAAAGCAAGGATATCAAGAATAAAAGGGCATTATGCTAGGATAAAAGGATTAATTCTCCAAAAGACATACCAATCCTTAATGAATATGTGCCTGAGAAAAAAGCATCAGAACATATGAGGCAAAAAACTGATAGAACTGTATGAAGAAATAGAAAACTCCACTATTATAGTTGGAGACTTCAACACCTTCTATTAAAGATGAACAGATCCAGAAGAGAGAAAATTAGTAAGGACATAGTAAACTCAACAGGACCAAAAATCAACTGGATATAATTGACATCCATAGACTACTTCAGCCAACAAAGTCAAAGTACACATTTTTCTCAAGCTCACATTGAATATTCACCAAGACAAACCATATTCTGGGCCATAAAACACAACTTAATAAATTTAAAAGAACAGAGTTATACAATGTATACTTTCAGACCACAATAGAATTAAACTAGAAATCAATAACAGAAAGACAGATGGAAAATCCAAAAATACTTGGCAAATAAACAACACACTTTAAAATAACACATAGGTCAAAAAGAATTTTAAAATATTTTGAACTAAATAAACATGAAAATACGATTTATCAAAATTTGTGAGATGCAGCAAAAGCAGTGCTTAGAGGAAAATTTATATTATTGAATGCATACATTAGAAACGATGTAAAATCAATCATATAAGCTTCCATCTTTAAAAAGTAGGTAAAAAAGAACAAATTAAATCAAAAGTAAGCAGAAAAAGAGAAATAATATAAATTAGAGAAGAAATCAATGAAATTGAAAACAGGAAGTCAATAAAGAAAATCAACAAAACCAAAAGCTGGTTTCATTGAAGAGATCAATAAAATAGATTTCTCTAGCCTAGCTAACACAATCTACCAAATCTCACAGAAGGAAAAATAGACAATCTGAATATGTCTACATCTGTAAAGGAAATTGAATCAATAATTAATGAACTTTCAAAACAGAAAGAACCAGGCCCAGATGGGTTCACTGGTGAATTACACAAGATATTTAAAGTAGCAATCTCTTCCAAAAGATAAATGCAGAGGAAATACTTCCTAAATCATTCTATGAGGTTAACATTACCTTAATACCATAATAATCAGACAAAGATGTCACAAAACTACAAACCAGTATTTCTCATGAACATAGATGCAAAATTCCTCAACAAAATATTAGAAAATTGAATCCAACAATGTATAAAAATAAATATACACCTCTACTAAGTAGTATTTATCCCAGGTATGCAAGATTGATTTAGGCTTTGAAAATCAATTAATGTAATCCATCACATCAACATGCTAAAAAAGAAAAATGAAATGATCATATTAATAGATGCAGAAAAGCATTTGAGAAAATCCAACACCCATCCCTGATGAACTAGGAAAATCCCTCTCAGCAAAATAAGAATAGAAGGGAACTTCCTCAACTTCATAAAGAACTTCTACAGAAAATTGACTGCTAAAACCATACTTAATGGTGAGAAATTAAAATCTTTCCCACTAAGATCAGGAACAAGGCAAAGAAGTCCCCTGTCACCACTGCTTTCAGCATCATACTGAACATCCTAGCTAAAGTAATAAGACAAGAAGATAAAAAGTGTACAGATTAGCAAGGAAGAAATAAAACTGTCTATTCCTCCTCAGTGCAGAGGCAAATGCCTCCATATTGCATTTGATCTATCCCTTCACACCAGTGTTCTTGTTTTCTCCTTTTCACAGCTACCATTGGTGTTCTACATAGCTTCTGTCTTCAGTACTCACCCATTCTTTAACCCTTTGTAGTTGGTCTTTTACCATCACTCCCCTACACCTAATTAATCTCTTAAACAGGGGCTCTCACACTTGGGCAGGCATGCATCAGCACCATCTGGAAATTATGCTAAAACTCAGACTGCCATCCCTACCCACAGAGTTTTTGGTTCTTTGGTGAGGCCCAATAAAATGCATTTCTCATAAGTTCTCAAGTGATGCAGAGGATGCTGGTCCAGGGACCACACTTTGAGAAGCACTGCTCTTGAAGACAACCAAAGACCACTACAAACAATAAATAAATAAACTGTTCTCCCTATACTACACACAACCCTTCTAATGCCAAATAAGACACTGCGTTTTTGACACTAGCAATTCGGATGCTAACTGCCAGAGCTAGAGCAGACTCCACAGGATAAGGGCTCATTCCCACTGCCTCCTAGTTTTCAAATGCCAATGGCACGTCCAGGTTGTCACCTGTGCTTCTGACTGACTATCTATAAATTGCACATTCCCACAAACCCCACCTCAGGTTGATCATTTGCTAGAATGGCTCACAGAACTCAGGAACAGTTTACTCCCTAGGTTACTAGTTTATTATAAATAGATACAACTCGGTAACAGCCAGATGGGAGAGATGCTCAGAGAAAGGTACATGGGAAGGGGTGCAGAGCTTCTTTACTCTCTCAGCATACCACTTTCCAAGCACCTTAATATGTTCATTCATCCCAGAAGCTCTACAAACCACTTTAGTTAGGGTTTACATGAGGGCTTCATTACATAGATGTGAACAACTAACTCACTGGCCACTGCTGATAGAACTCAATTTCCAGCCCCTCTCCCATCCCTGGAGGTCAAGGGGTGGAGCTGAAAGTTCCAACCCTAACCCTCTTATTACCTGGTTGTTTTCCCTGTTCTTTGGGGATTTCCAAAAGCCACCTTACTAACATGCACTTAGGTGTGGTTGAAAGGGGCTTGTTATAAATAACAAAGAATACTTCTTTCACTTTTATTGCTCGTGAAGCTATTTCATGAACTGGAGACAAAAAATGAATAGTATAACAAAACATGCTCCTATAGCTCTTATCACTTAGGAAATTCCTAGGGTTTTAGGAGCTCTGTGCTAGGAACCAGGATGAAGATCAACTGTATATTTATTATATCACAATACCTCAACCATTTAGTAGCAAAATGTATTAGGATCCAAGTCTTCAACTTTATTGCTTCGGCTTTAAGGATCCACAATCTCTATCACCTTGCTCCAATCTTGTCTCCCATTACCTCCTTTAGGCATCCTGAACCAGCCACTGTTTTCTACACATGCCTCATGCCTCATGTTATTTCCTCTGCCTGGAGCACCCTCGCTCACTCACCTTTACCTGTTCATATACAGAGTTCCAGTCTCAAAGTCCTATGCTAAATGCCACTTCCTGTATAAATCCTTCCAGAATAGCCCAACTCTCTGCCAATCGATTCTGTTTCTTTCTCTGAATTGCCATAGAATTTTACCTGTACATCCCTTATTCAAGGGCATATCAAGGTTTTTGGAGCCTGAAGTTTATAAATTTGGAGAGAGGGCTCTTTTCAAAAATAAAGATTACAAAATTATAAATACAAAATTAGGTATAGAGCCTTGGAAATGTCTCAGGCAAATAAAGATCTTTAAAACAAGCTTTGTTAGCTTTGCAGTAAGTCTGCCTCAGGTCTCATTGGCTCACATTTCTCCTCTTAGATTGCCATCTCCTGGGACAAAAACTTTCTCTCTCTCTTTCACACACTCTCTGTCTGTCTGTCTCTCCCTCTTTCTCTCCAGTTCTGCTCCTCTACCTTCTTCTTTTAAGAGAACCAATAGCATCTGGTGAAAAAGGACTTTGAAGTCAGGCAGATTGGGGTTTAAAATCCCTACTTCCTCACTCACTCAACTGAACCTGAATTCCTACATTGTGAAAAATAAGGGTAGGAATAGCTACCTTTGGGGTTAAAATGATATCAAATATGACAGCAAATAAAGGTCTTTGAACAGGGCTTAGTAAATTATAAGCTCTTAATAAACATTAGGTTCCATCTTCGGATGTGTTAAACAAAAATTATAGGAGGCCATTGTTTTGAACTAAACTCTTGCAGGAGGCCCCAACAGACAAGACTAATTGTCCAAATGGAGTCACCCACGCTCACCAAACCAAAACTGAGTTATTCTCTGGCCTTCCAAGAAATCAGGAGAGAGAGAGAGATAACAACCTAATTCCCCAAACAGGTCAGTTTCAAACTTAGCAAGTTCCCTCTGTTTAATCTTTAAGCGGAAGTAAGCTGATATTAACCAATCAATTATTTTTCTATTGTTCTGTTTCCCTGTCCCCACATTATAAGGAAAGTAACTTTGAAAGGACCAACCCACTTTTTGTTCTTTGTTTCTGCTTTCTTCAGCCCTTTTTCTGTCTTACAAAGCTAACCTCCTCTGCTTGACTCATTGGAACACTTATTCTATTTTATGGAATGAAGTGTTGCCCGGTTCTAGAACTGCGAATAAAGCCAATTGAGATCTTTATACTAAAATTGTTGTAATTCTGTCTTTTGACAGATGGCACGATCCATAGCCTCAGCTGAGTAATTTTCAGTTCCCCCAAAGTACCTAGAGAGTGCCTTCCAATGGATAGTTACTGAACACACACGGCCTGTTTTGTATATAGGTTCCAAGAAAATGAAATGCCTGAGCATATTGCTTCTTTCTCATTTTGCAGCATCTCTGATTACTATGCTCACTTCAGGGAAACTTCCTACAGTAATGAGGATTCTGCAAATTCTCCCACTTGAGTAGGGCTTGGTTGAATTTAATTTAGTTCAGCCTCAGTAAAACAAAGGAGTGGGAGGATGTTAGGAGGAGGAAAAGCATATAGTTTACCAAGACTTTCCACCCTGGTTTATATCAGCCTTTTTGTTGCTATTGTTTATAATGAGGACAGCACTTTGGACATCCATCCTGGTGACCCCAGGAAAAGATCCTCTCAGCTGCCTATGCTGTTCATTGATGTGTAAAGCAAAGCAGAGTAATTAATTACACTTTTTCCAATGCAAGGTAGGAGCTAAGGCAAATCATTAATTTTACATAGTTCCAAAGTGTAACTAACTCTCCAAAGCATAATATCTCTCCAAATTCAATAATGAAGCAGAAACGTCAGAAAACTCTAAGATTTCATCAGTGCTCTAGTATAAAACAAATGTCTATAAACATCATCATTCTAATACTAGGGGCAAATTCAATCTAAAATGTAAAATCTTTCCATTTATGCCCATTTAAAACGGTTTTCCCTCAGAAAAAGAAAAAATAAAACAAATCCCATCCTTGATGAACAGAAATATAATAGAGTTAACTTTAGCGGTATGTGAATTTATTTCTCCTAAGCATAAGACAGAAAGATGAGTCAAAATTTCAAGTGTTACATTTAAGCCATTTAGCATAGTACATAGGAACTTTTTTGCTCATCCTATACATCTTATACTTTTTGTTTGTTTTTTATAGTACTTTGTCCAATGCAATTAAATGTTTATCAAATATTCTGAAACCCATGGGCAAAAGCAAGTAATAATAGTCTGTTCCTATGGTGGTGTTAATGATGGTGGCCTAACATCTTCACTGACTGTATCTGTATATATGTTTTCAAGCCTTTTTTTGAAATTAACCACAAAATGATGAAGTTTATAAATTCAGTTTCATCAGAACTGGCTCTCTTTTATCTCAATAAGAAAAAAAATCAATTAAAAATACATAATACTCCTATCTAGATTTATAGAGCAGTCCAGAATAAGGAATTTGAAGACAATATTTTATATTTAAACGTATTCATGTTTACAGATCATGAAGTATATGGAGAATGACTATCCCCTTCTCCAAGAATCAATTCCAACAATTGGTATATATTGAGTTTCTTTGATATGTTCATCCCAGTACTGGGATCCATAGAAACACTTCAAAACCATGCACAATCACTTAAGCTTAATAAATAAAAAAATTATTGCTTAGTAAGTAACAAAATTATTGCTTAGCAAATAATTTTTGTCTAGTAAGTAATTTTTGCTTAGTAAAAATTTGGAAAAAAAATTAAATAATCTATATCTTGATAAAAACTCTAAAAAAAACCAAACTGAAATAAGCTAAGGAAAAACATACGACTTGTTTGACAGAGTATAAATTATATAAAAATTAAGAAGACAGTAGATGGATTTAGCAATAAAATATTTTTCTTATCGGAAGATATTTTCAAGATGGAAAAATGAAAACATGTTATAATTTTGATTTATTTAACATCTTCTCTAGTTAGTAACCTAACAATTAATTAGATATTCTGCAAGTACAACCACACTGAAGATGGACCTATCATATAGATTCAGGACTCTACAAATTAAATTTCAAACAAAAATAACTTCATATAACAATAGCTTGAAATACGTATGTTCAATATTAGTCTAAATCTACAATAGTAGTGATACAAATAGATTCTACTAACACATTGTTTTGGGCTACTGGAATTCACTTACTGAACACAGGTCTAACAAAGCAAGCAATGTTTAAATCTCACCCTCTGGCCAGGACTTATTGAGAAGGAAACGTTCTCTAATATGGCATTCCCACCATCTATATATCTCGCTGTGAGGTCTTTGACGGTCATTTGGCCCCCTGAGGGCCAGATGTCATCTTTCTTCACGTGTTGATTCTCAATAATCATAACCTTTGAGAGCTGGCCATTCTTGGATGGTTTGATTGACTTGGAAGATTTACCTTCTTCTTTCGGCATGTCAATAAACTTAAAGACTCGGCTCACAGACCGCATCTAAAATGAAAACATTTTATTTTTAAGAACTGCAGACGATTTCATAATTAGTTTGATGTTTCCTAAAATATAACTTTAAGATGTGATGCTCGTTACTTATCACTCTGTTATTTGCCAGGTCTTTCAATGAACAGGAAATAATGGGATATAATTAAAAGCTTAACCAAAGAGAAATTACCTATGATTTAGAAGCGGGCTCTGGATAAGCTTGTTTATTTTTGTGATGACTTAATTCTCAGCTATGCAAACCACACATAAATAGCCAAATCACTCTCAAGGGAATAGATGATGTCAACGGGAATTCTTTTTCTACTATCAACAGCGCTGCCCAATGCTGTACAACCAGTATATTATAAGATCAACACCTCAACACCTGCTGAAGATTCTTGCCTTTCTCTTGAACTACCTTACTAACTAACTTCAATTCTATGTTGGGTTTTTGTTGCGGGAGGGTGGCTGGCCAATACAAGAACTGAACCCTGGATCTCCACAGGTGTTATCAGTACCACACTCTAAGTAACCAAGCTAACCAGCCAACTACAATTCTGTATGTCAGCTGGTGATAAGTGGACTCTTGATGTTTAGTCTATTTTAAATAACTTCACAATAATCTTCAAACAAACTTAAGTCACAAATTTAAGTCATAAATCTATTGTTAAATAATGACATTTTTAATCTAAATTACTTAAATATCAATTTCCAGTACTGAGCAAAATGTGACTACATATGAGTTATATATAAAATTAAATATGTATCTGCTTTACAAATCTATGTAATATTTAATAGAGTATATCTTTAATGTGCATAGAAATTAAAGAGCTAAACTAGTTTTTAAAAGCATTTAGTTAGATTATTTAAAAAGAACATATTTCTCTGGATAATTGTAATTTATTGGAATTTGGAATATGATTTTAAAAACAGCCTGGCATATAATAGGTACTCAATAAATATTTAAACATTAACAAATAAAGAAAGGAATGAATATAGGAAGTGAATATAAATAAATAAATAAATAATGAGTTTGAAGACTTTGAGTTCACTCAATTCTATTTTTAAAAGATAGATCCTTGATCCTATAGCTGAGCCCTTCCCAGGTGTTAGTAGCTTACTGAACAGAATTTTACTGGTTTGTTTTTGTTTTGTTTTAGTTTTTAGTCTTAATAATAATTGTTAAGGCTAGCTTTATTCAGTCAAGAACTTAACTAAACTTCTCCTTTACAATGTTAACTTATCATAATTTATTATCATATTATCTATAGCTAAGGCTTAGACTTTAAAAATTATTCTTTCTGAAAAAAAATGTGGGCAGAAATTTGGAGCATTTGCTTCTATTATTTCTATTGTTCATTATCAAAAGGTTAAATGGGAAAAATTCTTCATCTTTAGTATGGAATGATTGGTGGATGAAGCAGAGGAGTGTAAATATTGGTTCTTAATTGAACATTAAAAGTTCTGTCTTAGAAATTCTAACTGTATTGCCTGTTTTCACATGCTATTGATCAAGCCTGCTCTGTTTCAAAAGTTCTTTCTTCTTTAACAGTGATTCTGTGCTTCAGTTTCCTTCATCTTAAAAATATTTTCAAGTTACCTTTGATAATTACTCAAGATTCAAGAAGATAATCCTTCTAAGTCAAACCCACTGTTAATGGAAGGGAAAAGAGCCCAAATCCTATATCCATCATAAATAATTCTAGAGGAAGCAAAAGGCACATAATCACAATTGTTCCCACATGTAATATTTTAACTTCTGAATTATGAGTGACTTGCAGGGGTGGTTAAATCCTGATTCAGTTATTCTTAATTATTTTTTAATTAAAGCCTGCTCTTGCATTTCACTATCATTAATTTTCATAGAGAGCTATCAGTGTATATAATGTCTGGAAGACAAATTAGAACTATAACTATCACTGAGATGAAACTTCCAGAGAAAGAACTCAAATGCATTTAAAATATTTTATTGTACTAATCATGCATAAGACTATCATCCCTCTCTTCAAATAATTGAAGGAAATACACAAATGTAGCAAAAGTTCAGACTGTTGACACTTTTCATGTCAATTCTGTGAAGAATTCTAAACTAGTCTTTGTTAAGCACTTTAGCGTATGAGCACAGACATTATATAACAAAAATCCTTCATATTTTAATACTTCCAAAAAATTATTAAATATTTAAATATTGCTATCTAAACTACTCAAAATTACATGTACTGCTATTAGAAAATAAGGACTCTTAAAACCACTATTTTGGCAGCACTGGGATGTAGCATATAATTTTTTTTTGTCTAAGGACTTTTGTTTGAGCACTGAAAATTACATTCTCCATTACTAAGGTCACCACAGAAGCTGAATCCAGGACTTCTAATGTCAAAGGTGGTAAAAGGAACATACTTATCAAACTTAGAAAATGAAACTTTCCAACTCATTGTCTAGACTTTATAAAGTCTAGTTGCTTAAAGTGACCCCAAGACAAGCTATTATAGTAAGCCAAAGCATGATCAAATATCCCTGACCAAGAACATGTTATTTCATCTTAACAATGGGCACTCATCCACAGCATATAAGCAGACATTCATTCCATTTAATGGGTTAGAACAGTTTCTGACAGGAAGAAAAAGTGGCTAGTGCAGACACCTGCATCATGGTCAGTTTTGTAGCCACTGAAATGCCATTTCTGAATAGATGTTGAGGCCAGATAATATTATGAATTACTAACCAATTCCCTGTACCTCACAAACTCTCCAGCTTGGACATTCTACCTCCACTGCCTCCAGAAGGAGAAGCCACATCAGAACCACAGCAGAGAAAATCAATTCTGATGTTTTCAGTTTTCAAAAACTGGCCTTTGAAACTCAAGTCAGATATTGATGGTTTGAAAATTTTTAAGCCATATGAATGCTGGCTTTTAAATTTCAAAAGCCAAAGCCTGAAGGACTCAAAGCATAATGTTTACACAGAAATGGTAGCCACAGATGAACTTGTGATAGATAAGAAACAGCTACTGTCCTTACCACAAATTGTGATTCAAGAAAGGTCACCCATGAATGGGGGTAACAAGAGGCCTTAGACACCAGTTATTCTAAAAAGGAGTCCTGTCTTGCAACCAAATCATCCAAGTTCTGTCTTCAATTAGATTTGGGGGATTTTAGAACACAGGAGGCCTGTGCCTCAATTCCAAGGGGAAGCCCAGGAAAGAGGCATGCCATAGAGAAGCTCCCAGTGCCTACAGCAGTAGAGTGGACACGGTCGCTTGGCATGTCTAGGCACAGATGACCTGATATAGCTTCAGATAACCCTGTAATTCTAGAGTGGTACAGAGGGGAAGCCAAATAATTTGAATCTTTTGATCCATCAGGGGCATAGAAGAAGTTGAGAGACAGCTCAGCAAGGGAGAGCTCAAGTCAGGACGAGAAAGACAAAGACTCCATCTACCTGGACAATACACCTCTAGGTCAGATAGGAACATCAGTGCCTAGAGACAGTGAGCCTGGATAAGGGACAACATAGGGCTAGACACTCTCTCTTCCCCAATATCTTAGTATTCCACGATCACCACTCAGAACCCAGCAAGATCTCTGAATTCGCTGAGATTGTTTCTCCCATTCAGTGGAATGTGCGTTCAAATAGAAAATAAATTCAACCACAGCAAAAGTAAAGTCATATTTCTTACACACCTGATTTCATAGCTAAAGATTCATAGCTGCTACCAGGAAGAGATCCAGGTTTTGTGCAGCCTGAAGCTTAAGTAATTTAGGGGATTCTTCTTAAGAAAAAGAATCAAAATTATGCATATAAAATTAAGTGTAGGGCCTTCAAAGGGGTTCATGCAAGTGAGAGGACTTGAAGTTTATGTCTTCTGGGATTCACTTTAAACCCATCCTGCCTATTACAGTAACCTTGTTCAAAGCATTCCTTGTTGTACTCAAACAATGGAATATTCACAGCATTCCTCCCCATCTACTGCTTATCACCATGCAGTCACTTAATAAATCACTGTTAATAATGAATGAGTTCATTGTTCCACCTGCCATGCAGAACGCAGTGTCTGTGCAGTGAGAATGGCAGTGCTGTGAGTACACTGGCAGGTAGTCAGGCTGCAATTTCACCCCTTAGCTTCTCAGCCTGAAAATATATGTTGCTATTTGAATTAGACAGAAGTTACAACATACCAAACTATTTTTAGTCTCATTTATTTGTGTTCATTGAGCTTTTTAACTTCACTTAATCCTCTTTCTCATTTAGAATGATTACTAACTATTTTTATGTGATACCTAAAAACTACCATGCCATTTGTGCTGTATGGAAATTCAGATTTGGCAGTTATCAAAGTGACCGTAGATTGTCAAACTCCATCTCAGGCTGCTGCTTCCTGTGCACAGAAAAGAGTTGCCCAAGGAAGAAAGAAGGGGCAGCTCTTTCTACAGCAGCAAGACTGCCCCACCCACCATCAGGAAAGTCTCATTGTAGCCACCATCAACGTAGGTAGGAACACTTTCCTTAGACTTTGAGATTGAAAGATAAGGCCAAAATGAGACCCTGGCACTGACACATTGAACCTATTCTTCATTTGTGGGGAAGAAAACTTGACATAATGTGTGAAAACTTCTATAAAATAAGAGTCTAGCAAAAACAAAGTAGAATTTTTGTTTGAGAATCATCTGCTTGAAATTCTCGGTTTCATTATTTAATTTTATTATGCTCCCAAAATGCTCCTGAGTACCTAAAGGAGTCAGTCTTTAAAACTGAATCTCGGGGCCGGCCCGGTGGCGCACTGGATAGTGTGCCGCTTGGGAAGCGCGGCGGCGCTCCCGCCAGAGGGTTCGGATCCCACATACAGACCGGTTCCCGCTCACTGGCTGAGCGAGGCGCGGGGGCAACGCCGAGGGTTGTGATCCCGTTGCCGGTCCCCGGTGCAGGGGCAACACTGAGGGTTGCGATCCGTTGCCGGACACGGAAAAAAGACAAAAAGACAAAAAAAACAAACAAACAAAAAAAGAAACTGA